GATAGATAGATAGATAGATAGATAGATAGATAGATAGATAGATAGATAGATAGATGATAGATAGAAAGATAGATGATAGATAGAAAGATAGAAAGATAGAGATAGGCAGGCAGGCAGGCAGAGACAGACAGACAAACAGACAGAAAGAGAAGAGGAAAGAAAAGAAAAGAATGCAAAAGGAAGAGAGAAGATAACAGAAAGGAAAGGGAAGAGGAGAAAGAGGAAAGAGAGAAGAGAACACAAGGAAAAGGAAAGAGAAAGGGAAGAAAAGAGGAGGAGAAGAACAGGGAAAGGGAAGAGAGAAGAGAACAAAAGGGAGAGAGGAGAGGAAGAGAAGAATAAAAGGTTTTTAAATTTATCATTCTCACTTCATTGGTACCTTGGTCCTTAACTGCTTTGAAACTCATCCCATTGGGTACTCCACACATTACTCATCATTTGTTTGGTACTCAACGCATAAGCTCAAACTTCTCGGTGTCGGCTGCCTTGTGACTCACTATCTTCGCTCACTATTCCTGATGGGAAAAGTTTGGTACTCCTTGTGCCTCCCGGAACTAATTAACAACGAGCACCCAGGTACCCCACTGTTATTTGGACTCTGGTTTCACGCCTCTGCCCGTCTCTTCTCTTCTTCCTCTGCAGGAACAGTTCGAGCTCTACAGCCAGGTGGAATCCACTTTCCAGCTTTGCAAAATCTGCACCGAGAACAACAAGGATGTTCAAATCCGTCCGTGCGGGCATCTTCTCTGCCGGGAATGCCTGAAGTCATGGCAGGTGATTTCCTTCCCCTCCTTTTCTATTTTATTAAAACCTTTTCATTAAGAGGATCCATTCTATAAAATACACATGAAAAGAAAAGTTGTAGGCAGGGATGGGCTTCAGATTTTTTTAGCAAGGAAATCTCTGCCCTAATGATTGGCTGGGTGGTCATGTGGCTAGGTGGGCGTGGCTAGGCGGTCATATGATTGGGTGGTCATGTGACTGGGTGGGTGTGGCCAACTCGACACCACTTCTTTGCCCTAAATATATATATATGTATGTATGTGTATATGTATATGTGTGTGTATGTGTGTATTATATAATATATATAATTTTTTTTATACCAAAATGCATCTAATACTTAAATAAAAGACTGGGTGTATTGCTATACTATAGCTTGTATGGCCAAAATGATGGCCAAGAAAGTCGCACTGTGTTCAATTGTTATTAATGTTTATTCAATAAAATTTATTATTAAACAAAAAAAGATTTGACATTCCCCACCCCCCACCCCGGCCTGGAATGCTGTTGAACCTCATCTCCTGCCAATCTGGGAAGATTCCTGCAAACAGGCGTAAGCAATAGAGTAGCCAATTGAATTCTTCATGTGTGGAGCTGCCTCTTTGAGTCATGGGGGGGGGGGCAAATAATCCTAACGGGACCCTCTCTGCTTCTTTGCCAGCTTTCAAAATCCCCCACGTGCCCCTTTTGTCGCCAGACGATCTGGGGCCATGAAGATGTGGAGGTCAGCCCGTATAGCTCCAAGGAAGGCAGCCCCACCACCAAGGATGAGAGCGACGAGGGCGACCTGGAGGATGTGGACCTGGTGTTACAACAGCTGATGCTCATGCGGCAGAATCAAAGGGTTAGTGCAAGGGTGGGCTTCAAAAATTTCAGCAACCGGTTCTCTGCACTGTCAGGGGTCTGGCATCCACCCCCATTCAAATCATGACTCTCTAAGCCACAGATTTATTAGGAGTGAACCATGCCAGTGCTACCTGGGTGTAGCTGACACTGAGACACATCATTCATTCCACCCTTGACCCTGGTCTTCTCCCTACCCCTGGATGTATATTCTCCAATGGGACACATCCATAGCCAAGAGTCATCAATCATGCTCTCCAGTAATAATCTTGTGTGCCAACAGCTTCGCCTGCCTAGCAACTATCTGAGGCATTTAAGGAATGCACTGCTTTCCCCCATTCCCTTCCTGCTGGCAACTAAAAAGACCAAAGGAGTATTTTTTAGTTGACAGGTATGGCCATGGTGGGGGTGGCCTTGTCAGCCTCCTGCACCACGGCGGGGGGTGGTGGTGGTGTTTTCACCCTCCCGGGGCTCTGGAGGCTTTCTTCGAGACTCCAGGAGGGTGAAAATGGCCTACAGAAGCCCTCCGGAGGCCAGAAACGGGCCTGTTTCCGGCCTTCTGGAACTTCCGGGAGGATCGTTTTTCACCCTTCCCAAGCCTCTGTATGGGCCCTGTACTTACCTAGCATCCAAAACAGGCCGCGTGGAGACTCTTGGGGGGGATGGGCGGGGCCAGCCAGGGGTGGGATTTGCGGGTTTGCCCGAACTGCGCAGCATCTTAGCTAGAGGATCGCACCGAACCCATGTGAATCCCCAGCAGCCCACCCCTGGGTCAGTGTGAGATGAGACGCGCTTCCTGATTTTGAGGAGCATCACTTTTGCACCCAGGGGCGCCGAGGAAGAAGTGGGTGGGGCTAAAAGGTGGCAGCCAGGACCACAGCATTGAAACTCCACCCCTTTTAAGATGTACGTTGAGTAGAGCAGCCAGGTAACCTAAGATGGAGTCTGAATGCAAGTTCGCCCAGAGCCGTCTTGATATTTTTTATCCCTTCCTAGGTTGCAATCTCCTTAACATTCCACGCCGGTCTCCATTTTTTAAATATATTTTTATCAATTTATATCCCACTTTCATTATTTTTATAACTAACTCAAGGCACGGAACTTATCTAATATACTTTCCTTCTCCTATTTCCCCCCACAACTACTATTCTGTGGGTGGGTTGAGTTAAGAAAGAGGGACTGGCCTAAATTCCCCCAGCTGACATTCATGGCTAAGGTGGGACTAGAACTCACTGTCTCCTAGTAATTGGCCCAAAATCACCCAGTCAGTTTTTTGTTCTGAAGGTGGGACTAGAATTTACTGTATCCTGGTAATTGGCCCAGAGTCAACCAGTCAGCTTTCACGCCGAAGGTGGCACTAGAACTCTCAGTCACCTGGTGATTGGCCCAAAGACACCCAGT